TAAATTAGTAGTACCCCGGTCGATGCAGACAAGCGTAATCAGACGTGCTCACGAGATTGGACATTTTGCAATCGGAAAAACGGAGTCAATTATCAAGTGGGACTATTGGTTCGCGCATATGAGACCCAGAATAAAAAAGGTCATAGAAAATTACGTTAGTTGTATCTTCGCGGAACGAAAACATGGGAAGGGAGAGGGTTTTCTGCACCCAGTGGAAAAAGGCGAAACCCTTTTAGATACATTTCATGTGGACCATTTGAGACCGCTCGTTTCAAGCAGGAAAAACTATCGACACATTCTCCTGGTAGTCGACGGTTTCAGTAAATTTGTGTGGTTATACGCAACCAAAAGTACAACATCGGCCAAAGTAATAGATAAGCTTAGAAAACAGTCTGCAGTTTTCGGGAATCCGCGGCGCATAGTATCCGATCGCGGTACGGCGTTCACCTCGAGCGAATTCGGAAGTTATTGTTCGACAGAGGAAATAGAACATATAGCAATCACCACTGGGATGCCGCGAAGTAATGGGCAAGTAGAACGAATAAATACGATCTTGGTACCTTTTTTTTTTTTTTAACGAGGGGGAAATGCATTAAGCACACCCGGCGATGTAGGGTTTTTTCGCCGGGTAGTGTGGGACTCCCAGCGGGCTCGATCGCCCCCGGGTTTCCCCCAATAACCCCCCCCCCCCCCCCCCGATGGCCAACGTCGGGCATTACGGCGGCCGTGAGCACTCTAAGAAGAACTCCACCACGGCCGCCGTGCCCAGGCTCCCCTAATCGTTGGGGAGCCCATCTTCTCAATTTCTCTCGGCGCCAGGGGCCATACCCTGACGCCGACCGCCTTGGGACCGGTCACGAAAACGGTGGCGCCCTACCGCCAGCCGTCTCGGTCCCCGTGGCCCCCCGCGCGACGCGCTGGGTCACCGTGACTGTGACCCATGACAAACGTGCGCGCAAGGGGCCGTCTCACCATTCTGGCCGCCCTCGATCAGGGCGGCCGGCGGGCAGGCAGGCCATTAGGGGGCTTCGGGCACCCCGGTACCGATCCCTCCAGCTATGTGGGGATCGGCCGGTAATACGGCCGGACGCCGCCTCCAGGCCCACCTAACCCGTCTTCTCTCTTGACGAGCGGGATCGGAGCGTGCCCGATACCGCACGTCTGCCTTCTTCTGCGATATGACTGCATCGCAGAAGGAGGCTACCGCAGTCCACGAACTCTTGCTGTCGATTATGGCAGCAACTACGGTCGGCAGCGAAAGGTCCGCACCAATCTGTATTTGGAGTGCCCGCCTTTGACCAGCAAAGGACGGACATTCCTCCCACGTGTGTTGGGCCATGTCCAGCACGGCTCCACACTGATGACAATCGGGCGTCGCCTCCGCACCCACCTTATGCAGGTACTCACCGAAACATCCGTGCCCGGTGAGCACCTGCGTGAGCCGGTAGGTGAGCCTGCCATGCCCGCGGTCCAGCCAACCATCAAGGTTGGCCAGAACCGCGCCGACAGTGCGCTTGCGGGCAGCGGGGCTGTTTAGCAGTTCCCACCACCACGCATCTCGTGCGCACCGCCTTGACTGGGGCTTCCATCGTTCGACCGCTTCAGTCGGCGGGTCCTACACGCTCCGGCGGTGCTCCCGCCAACGCCTGAAAACGTAGGCGGCCGCCTGGAGGTCAAAGGGGAGGTATCCCGCCAGGATCAGCGCCGCCTTCGTGGAAATGGTGTGGTAGCCCCTCACTACCCTGATGGCCACCCGCCGCTGTATGCGGCGGAGCATGTGCCGGCTTTGCCGGCACTTGGCCAGGATGTCGGCCCATACGGGACATCCGTATAGGGCCATGGCCCGCACCACTCCAACATAGAGGCGGCGCACTCTCTCTTGCGCCCCCCCGAGATTGGGCATGAAGCGACCAAGCATGGTCGCCACCCTCTCAACCCGGGGGGACAAGCGGTCGAAGTGACCTTTGAAGCGCCAGCGGCCATCGATGTCCAAGCCAAGATATTTGATCTGGTCCTGGACATCGATGCAGGCTCCACCTATGCGGATCCGCGCCGGGGGAGGTCGCCGCGACAGAGGCAGCCCGTGAAACCAGACCGCCGCCGTCTTCTGCGGCGACACTTCCAGCCCCAATGCGCGGATCCGGGCGACGACCGAAGCCACTCCCATCTCGGCGACCCGGCTTGTCCTCGTCCATTCCCTGCCCCCGGCGATAACGAACGTGTCGTCTGCAAAGCAGACGACCGCCACGCCGGGAGGTAGGGGCCCGCGTAGCACGCGGTTGTACCCCACCAACCAAAGAACGGGTCCCGAACAGGACCCCTTGGGACTCCAGACTCCCGGAGCGCCTCCCGTATCTTGCCCCAGGGCAGGGTGTTGAACGCGTTGGAGATGTCTAGAGACACCCCCAGCGCCACCCCGCCTCGGGACACGGCCGAGTGCGCGAGGGCCTTGACGTGCTCGATCGCGTCAAGCGTCGAGCGGCCACCGCGAAATCCATACTGGCACTCGGCCAGGCCGAGCTCACCGACGCGAGACAGATGGGCGGCGAGGCGGGAAGCGAGCACACGCTCTAAAAGCTTCCCCGCCTCGTCCAGCGGGCAAACGGGCCGGTAGGCGGAGGGAAAGTCCGCGGGCTTTCCCTTCTTGGGGACGAGGACGAGCCTGGCCCTCTTCCACTGTCGCGGCACGCGCCCCGACTTCAGGCAGCCGTCCAGCAGCTGCCGGAAGCGGGGCCCAAAGACGCGCAAGGCCATTACCCAGGCCCGGCCGGGAATGCCGTCAGGGCCCGGGGCCGTATTGCGGGTCCCGAGCTTAGCGACGGCATCGGCGAGCTCCTGTTCGGAAACCTCTACATTGGCGGACAAGGTAATCGGGTCCGCCAGCTCGGCTGATCCTCGCTCCTCCGGATCGTCCGGAAAGAGTGTACCGACGACCCGCTCGAGCACGTCGGGGTCCAGACTCTCCGTGACCGGGGGCGCCGGTAGTCGCAGGCGCCCCATAACGATCCGGTAGGGACGGCCCCACGGATCGCGGTTTAGAGAGTCCAGGAGCTCGTTCCAGGCTCGGGCCTTGGCCTCCTTGATGGCCGACTGGAGGGCGACCGTTGCCTGGCGGTAGTCACGGTACAGCTTCTCCTCCCTCGCCGGGTCGCGACTTCGTCTGCGGCGGAAACGCGTAAACCGGCGTCCGACCACCAGTACACGGGCCGCCGCGGCGGAGCGCGGATCCGGGGCATGGCGACATCGCAGATAGCCGTCATTGCGCCCCGGAACCACTCTTCCTCCACCTCGACGTCATCGCACGGTCCGGGCGGTGTTTCCACCCAGGACATGGCGAAGGCTGCGGCCATCAGCGCGTCCTCATCAAGACGGCCTAGCGCCCATCGGCGTCGTGGCTGTCGCCCCGCGGGGCGCCGGGTGGGGTGGCCGTGCTGTGTGGCAGATACATCAAAGATGATGTGGAGGTGGTCGCTCAACGTTTCCACCTCCTCTGCCACCTTCCACTCCGACACGAGTCCCGCGGCGTCGGGCGATGCCCAGGAGATGTCCACAATGGAACCTCCCCACCGCCGCGAGAACGTATTGACAGACTCCCGGTTGCGTAACCGGAGGTCCAGTCCCGCCGCCCACTCCAGCACTGTATCTCTCCTCGCGTCCGTCCTGGGGCAACCCTAAGCCGTGGATTTGGAGTTGAAATTCCCAAGGACTAAGGTTGGTCGGGTTCGGCAGTGCGATTGCACGCAATCTCGGACCCGATCCAACAACGTCTCAAAGGATGCGGGGGTCAGGCTGGGCGGGGCGTAGACGCCTACAACCGCCAAGCCACCAAAGCGTGCCGTGACATAGCCGCGCCCTCTAGCTAAAACGCTAAATGGTGCGACTCCCCTACTCAAAATCGCCACGGAGCCCAAATCGTCCCCGGCCCAGTCTGGGCGATTGGAGACACGGTAGGGCTCCGAGGCGACGACCAATCCCACTCGCAGCTCGGATATTGTCTGGATGAGCAGATCCTGAACCCGAGCCGCGTGTTTGAGATTGGCTTGTAGTACCCGCGTCGCAGGGGGGCGTGGAGAACCCGTTTTAGGCAATCTCCATAGCCCCTCCGCGGCCGGTTTCCTCTTCACCTGCTTCGACAGGCGCACCTGGCTGCTCCCGGGACGCCTGCACTTCTCTTGCCTCTGTCACCGGCGCCTGCACCGGCTTCAGAGGGAGAGGCGCTCCCCGTGGCGGCGGTGCAGTGGGAGACCGAGTCTCCTGCTGCGTTGCAGGGGGCACCTGCGTCCCTTTTGCGCCGTTCTTTTTCCGGCGGGAGGAGGGCGGGCCACAGCCCTTTGCCCCCAATCGGTGACCGGACGGCCGCCCCAGGTCGGCACAGACGGGGCACTTCGGGTGTAAGGTGCACTCCCGCGCCCCGTGGTCTGTGCCGCCGCAGATGCAGCAGCGGCCTGCCCGGTCTGCCTCGCAGGTGCAGCGCCGCCTGACGTGCCCCGTTTTCAGGCAGCGGAAGCACGGCGGGAGCGGGGCTCCAGGGCCTGCACCCTGGCGTTGACCCAGCCCACCTTAACCCGCCCGTCTGCCACGAGCTTGCTCGCGGATCCGGTCGGGAGGCGGACCCAGGCGCTGCTAACGCCATTGCGGGTCCGCCGAATGTCTCCGGTCTTAATGTCCGCGGGTCCAAAGCCCGTGGCAGCAGCCAGGGCCGTCGCCACCGATTCCGGGGACGCGCCGTCGACCAGGTCGATGATGCGTATCTCCGCGAGTTTCGTCGGCCTGGCCACCTGGACGTCAGTCAGTACTTCGCGCAGCATTCCGGCCAGCTTATCGGCCCTGGCAGCGCTTTCTGGCCCCGGGACCTCAATTATTGAGGCGCCCGTTTGGCCCCTCCTAAACCGGATGCCGGTTATACCAGCGTCCCCCAGCCGGACGCCTGCCGTCGCCCGCCTCCAGACATCTGTATATGTCGTGTCGCTGCCCTCGGCGACCGTCAATGTGACGGCCGCTCACTTGCGAGCGCGAGGCGGGCTCGGCTTTGCCGGAGGGTCCATCTTAGCGGCGCCGCCTCTTGGCCGTTTTCCCGGTCCTTTAGCGGCCGGATGCTGGCGAGGCTGGACGGCGACGGCGGCAGCGTCCTTATTTTGGCCGCGCCGCTCCTTCCTTCCGACGACTGCGGCCCAGGATTCCTTGGGCGCTTTAGTTAACGCCGGTGGCTGGGGGGTGGGCCCTGCCTTCGTTGGGGCAGCGGCAGCGGCGGGCGGGTTGTTAGTGCTTTTTACGGCCTGCACTGGAGCCTGCCGCCTCCGCCGCTGGGGCTGCGGAAGGGGCTGAGGGAGCTCCTTCCGCTCACCCTCCTTCACCGCGCGGGCGGCCCATCGGCGGCGCTGCTTTTGGCCGTTCCTACTGCGCCGTTTCCTCCGACCCTCACCCATTGTCACAGTGGGCACTGAGACGGGAACAGGGACAGGCGTTCGAACGGCAGTGCCGGGGCGCAAGTCTAACGCACCGCCGGCGGGCCGCCTGCCGCCCTGCGTCGGTAGACCGAGGCGCGCCAGCATCCGCCTCTTCGATTCGGCGCACACACGCCGAACTACAGCCTCAACGTCTGTAAGACGGAGGCCGCTTATCGGCGGCGTCGGCGGCGTCGGCGGCGTCGTCGGCGGCGGCGGCGCAGGAGGCAGAGCAGGGGGTGCCACTAACGGCAGCTGAGCTGTCGTCGTCGCTATCCGACGTTGCCGAGGCCGCGTCCGAGCCAGCTCGGCAGTCGAAGACGGCATCTCCACCTCCATAGGGGGTGGTGCAGGCTGCGGCGGACGAGCCGCGGCGGGGGGACGTCGCTCTTTGGGGACGTCGGCGGTGGATCCACGGCCGAGCAGCTGCTCAAGTTCGTTCACCCGGGCGCGGAGGAGGAGTGTCGTACGCTCCAGCTCCTCCTCGCGCCCGGTTGCCGTTGTCCTTTTTCCCTGCTTCACGGCGGCGTGTTTGATAAACAACGTCGCCTCGCGGAACAGGCGCACGAACGTCCCCTTGAGGTTGTTTGACTGATTGGCCACCTTCTCGATGACCCCTACGTGGTCAAATATGACCGTGCCGAGGTCAGGCGTAGGGGCCAGTCTCATCTCCGGGATCTTGATACCTATCCTAACTAAACTAGCAGCACCTCGTCCAGAAGAGTGGTATCGACACCTCGATCGCTGCCAAAGGATTTTGAACGCTACGATTACGCGCAGTACAGGGCTGACTCCTTTTCGGGTAATGTTTCGGGGTCGATATGCGACTGCAAAATGATTTGCTTCTGCGAGAACTTTTAGAACGCGAATGGACTGCCTCTTTCGACGAAAACAGATGCGAGTTGCGAGAATACGCTAGGGAAAAAATTGCGGAAGTTCAGCGAGAAAACAGAAATAGTTTCAAGAAGCGCCAAAAAAACCACGAGAAATTATGTAATCGGTGATCTAATGGCGAACAAAAAAACTCAACAAGGGCCAGGAGCGAAGTTGTCGGCAAAATATTTTGGCCCGTATCGTGTAACGAGAGCGTTGCGAAACGACCGATACCTCGTAGGAAAAGTAGGCGACCACAATGGTCCGAGCGAAACAAGTACGGCGGCAGAATACATGAAAATCTGGGTGCATGATTTCAGGGTCCGATTAAAGCGATGATGAAGTTGCAGAGTGTATCTGAGGCCAGATACTTTTGTAGGATGGCCGAGTGTGGGAGACGGATAACCACTGTGCGAAGACTAAAACAAAAACGTGTTCTCGCACAGCTGATAAGTCGTGCACGGGAGCCGTTGGCTAATGTCAACGGCTCCAAACGTTACAAGACGTTCGGGCCTAGGACAGGTGAGTGACCGGCGACTGCGAAAGTGAGAGAGCGTGCGTGCGTGCGTGCGTGCGTGTGTGAAAGAAAAGTAAAGGCAATAACCGCGAAGAATCAGAAGAGGGACACTTTTTTGTAACATTGCGAGCGAGATAGCGAGAATTGTGAGGCTAGAACGCGAATGATAGCCGCGACCGTCTCCTCTTCGGGCCATTCTCCGCCGCGCCCGGTTTCCCCTCTCCGACGCCGGTACCGCCGACTGCCGCTAGGTCGTCACCGGGCGCTGCGATCCCGCACGGCGCTCTCTGGCTACCGAAAGTGGGAGCGCTGTGCATATATACCACGCCGCGCCGCCCAGAAAGGCAGAACACCTGGGCGAGCGATAAGTGTAAGAACACCACTAACATAGCACTATTTCGCCGCTCAAATGCTCTCGTTTTCTCTCGCCCTGTTTCCAACCCTCCAACGGAGTACGAACAGGACGATGTGCGACCGCTACCTTACTGTTCACGCAAAACCCGTTCAGCCTAACGTCCTCACGCCGCCGGCCTCTGGCCCGACACGGAGGACATCCGACAGCCGGTACCGTGTCCTGCGACCGCGGGACACCCCAGAGTCACAGTCTCTAGCCCGGGAAGAGTGGATGTGCTACCGCTACCTGCTTGACTCCCTTTGGGGCACCGTCATTTCCTTCCCGACCTCCCTGGAGGTAAACTGGCTGCGTCCAGGCTAAGCTCGAACGCGTACTCTGGCGATCGACTGAGTCGGCGCCCCGACCCGTGACGGTTCTACCGCACTGCACCGAGTCCGGAACGTTACAAGCCAGCGAGATCGCGAGAATTGTGAGCCAGCGAGAATCATTTAGTTAGAATAAAAATTACTTCACACTCAAAACCACGGGGGATAACTGTCCTAACCGACACCTTTAAATAAAATCCCTACAATTGTAATACAATAAATTATGTGTTACAAATAGTGGATCTTTGTTCATTTTCTCATTATTTAAATTTCTTGCAACAAAACTTTCTGCCATGCATTGCGTATAGTTTTGAAAATTCTAAGGACTGAAACTGATATTGCAATACGATTAATTGTGCGTTACAAATAGTGGATTTCTTTTTTCATTTCTCGCTTTATCCTTAACATTTAAATGTCTTGCAGTGAGATATCCTGACATGCGTTCTGTATATTTTTGAAAACTTAATGGACTAAAGCTGGTCTCTTTCCTATATCTGGCTTCAGACACATTATGTATATTGTAGACTCTATGCTTACTATAATAAAAGACAAATGTATTTTTATTTTAAGCTCTACATTAATTTGCAAGTAAAATAAGTTTCGTATGTGTTATTTACAAATAAAATTAATGTCATATGAGTAACGCACAATTTATTATATTACAGTACCAGATTCAGTCCCTTATGTTTTCAAAACACACAGAACACAAGGCAGAAAGTCTTGTTGTAACAAACTTAAATGTTAAAAATGAAGTATGAAATGAAAAAAAGAGGTCTACTATTTCTAACCCACAATTTATTATATTATAATACCAGTTTCAGTTTTTTGTGTTTCCAAAGTACACACAACGCATCGCAAAATGTCTTGTTGGTAAAAATTGAAATGTTCAAAATGAAATGAGAAATAAAGAAAGAAATCCACTATTTGTAAATCACAATTTATTGTATATTAGTGCCACGTCCCGGATTTCAGATTTGAAAATCTGTCCCCCGGTTCGATCAAATGATGCTTGCGTTTTGTCCCACGCCTCTCTTAAACGACTCGCGTCTGGACGGGATCCTGATCCGTATTGAGTCTACCCTCGCGATTACTAATTATTAAAAATTTTTAATTTTCGGACTTACTACTTGATGAGGTCGAGCACCTTTTGGATGTAATGTTCCCACCGCGGGTCGTTAGGTGGGATGGTCCACACGGCCTCACGTGCTCGGGGAATGGTCAACGGGGCGAGCCTCCAAAGTATCGGTGCTGGAGCCGATGCTGATGTTGGTGCTGATGCTGGAGCCGATGCTGATGTTGGTGCTGATGCTGATGCTGGTGCTGATGTTGGTGCTGATGCTGATGGTCGTAACAGTTCGTTTTGAATCACTCGCGGCATCACTATGCGCCCGAGCGGAAACCTTCCAGATTGAACCTGTAGTTCGTAATCGCGTAACAACCGCCGAATTTGTTCGCGTCTGCCTGAACGGTATTTTCGCGCTGTTTCGGTGTTTTTCATCTACTGAGAGGGAAAAATTGGAATTTATATAAGTTTTAATCGGAGATGAATCTCATGTCCCACCAACCGTTATCAAGTCCATGCAACCCTTTACGACCGCTGGTTTTGCGTCTATTTCTTTCAAAGCTGGCTTCGACGCTTCGACCCTGATCGGAATGTCCGCTCTGCCTTGGATCGAAAGAAGCTGCGTTAATCAAATCCGTGGCTACTGTTCGGGAAAACCGGCTTCGGCGCCTCGATCGACCCTTACAGCAAACACGAAAGTGGCTTGGGACCCGAGTAAGATGACGGAAAAAAAACCCACGGCCAAGCAATGTTTCTATCTTTAGGATTTCTAAATGACCGGCTTCAACGCCTCGATCATAAATCGAAAAGATAGTTGGTTTAACTATAATTTATTCCCTTTTCTCTCTCCGAACGCGTCGAATGATTTGAGGATAAAATAATTATAGCTTGTGAATTTGTTAAATTACGTTACTGTTTTATTAAGGCCCGCGCACGGTCTTTTATTATAGCAAATACAATCAATTACAATTTCTGAATAAAAGGTTCACTACCTTGACTTCGCAATAAAACTCGATATTTGACTTTGAACGATTCCTGAACCTTGACTAACTAGAACGAGAACTCTGAACTCTGCGCAAAACTAGAACGAAGACTATCAACCTTGACGATTCTGAATATCAACTCGACGAGGAATATCCCGAGCCCCTGAATTGCGGGGGTACTTATACCCCTAATTCGGGACTTTTGGCCCGAAGGAAGGAGGAAAAAATCATACCACGTGATTATTAAAAATTCATGGGTGGTGGTTGATTTCTTCCCATGGCGTTAGCAATAACATCTTGCCCGAAATCATTCCTAGGTGTTTAGTCTGCCCCTTATCGGTTTTTGGTAACTGACACCAACGATAGCCACTGCCAACGGTTCCTTAGCTGACGCTACACTTAAATTCGTCGAAAAGGTGCAGGGTCTCATTAGATCTGACCACCCACCGGTGGGTGGTAACGAGTACCGAGAATTGTACGGGACCTGTAGCTACGACTTAACATCTAGGAGAACCATTGTATTCTCATGCGTCGCGATAAAGCAACCGAATCCGCGGTTCACGATAGTGAATAAGCCGCGGCCGTACCGTGGTCGTATCAGGGGCACATGATGTGGCAAGAAGTAGATCGTTCGCTCCGCGCCCGTAGCTGTTATCGCTTAGGTTCTCTCTTACTTGCTAAACGCTTCTCAGTCTAAGATATAAGGTGATCTTCGAATATACAAATACTAAATCTGTCTTCAACTCATTACAAGAGAAAAATATGTCCGTGCTTTGGACGGTCGATATGCGAATGTCACATTAGAATAAAATTCACAAGTATGCACAACGCGTGGCAGAAAATCTTGTTGTAACAAATTTAAATGTTAATAAATAAAGTGGGAATATGTACAAAGAGGTCCACTATTGGTAACGCACAATTTATTGTATTATAATTCCAGTTTCAGTTTTTTAAGTTTTCAAAAGTACGCACAATGTATGTCAGAAAGTCTTGTTGCAAGAAACCAAATGTCACAAATCCAAAGTGACAGTTTATACAGGTTAGAAATGAACGAGCGGCATGAGTGGCAGCCATATTACAATTCCGACCGACGAGCCTTGCCGAATGATTCCGAGAGTCGACGAATCGACGAACGGCCTTAGCTCCTATTGGCTCAATGTTGACGAAAAATTCCTTGTCAAAGGAAAAGAAAAATGGTGCCGTTTTGGACACATTCATGATATGATATTACGATATCTCTGTCGTTCGTGAACCGATTTTATTGATTTTGGTTTTATTCGAAAGCTTATGTGGGATTTATTGCAGGCGTGTTGAGATATTCATGACAGAAGTTTCGGGTTAGATTGAAATCGCGTTTTCTCGAGTAAAAGATACGCGGTAGCGCCAGCGCCAGGCATATACAGGAAGGCTATTTTTTCATGTACTTGGCGTCAAGACGCTACCGTGTCTATAGATTAAATTTCTGTTACGGGTATTTTAGCATAAAACTATTAATATTGGTAGCTGAAACTCT